GCAGATATAAAAGGCTGTTGCATTGACCCTTTGCCCTCTGCCTCACACAAAAAGGCAAAGGGCTCACTGATCTGTTAACACTTAAGCCACTCACTATGGTAGAGCTAAAAGAACACTGTAGCACTCCCTCTGGGGCTTCAGGAGTCACAGGTGCTGGTACCTGGATGTTGCTGCATGCCTCCACAAAGTTTTCTCCTGCTGGCACCTAAAAGCAGCCAGCCAGATCCTATATTAGCTTACCTACTTGCCCCCTCTTATAAGGGGTTGAGTGTGGCAAGCTGAGTAAAGAGAATTTGTTCTTGCCAGTGCCCAAAAAACCTTACTCTGGCTCCAGTGCTCCTGCACTCCAGTTTCTGCCTTGTTTACTCATGAACTCCCTCTAGTGAGGAGATGAGAGTCGCAGGCTGAGTAAACAAGGAACCCTTGTTGCAAATCCTGCAAAGGGGTCAGAGAAATATTCGGCTTCACTAATATCCACATCTTATACAAAGTATTAAACCCCCCCAAAAAAAAATATAAATCTGTGCCAGTTACTTTAGCAATCTTTTTTCCTCAGAAAAAGAAAGCAGAGCATATCCTGCAACATGGGAAGATGAGCCAAGATAAACAGAGAAAATGTCCTTAGTGAGTACCATTAGTATTTGAAGGAAAACATTAATGTCAATTACAGTAACATGTTGATATCATCCAACCATACCCAAATTTACCTCCTATGATCATGGTACATCCAGAAAATACATTATGTATTTTTAAAATGTTAATGCCACTAGTTTTTTGATCTAGGTTTTCCCCCCATCTTTTAAATCAAAATCCAGTAAGTTCCCAAGCTGTAGATTTTATCCAATTAAAACTGCATGCAACTCAGTTAGTCATAATTGTATTCTGAGAAGGAATGTGTATCCTCTCTGAGCTTTGTCTTATCCAAATCAGTGTTATGTCTTGTTGATCTGTACCAGACAATAAGAAAATTGAAAGGTTTCCACAAATAAGTTCCTGATAGTGTTCCTAACATTGTAATACAATGTAACAGGTTTTACATCATATTTTGAATGCCAACAGAGAAGTTAAAACTTTATTATACTTTTATTGACATATAATGACTTTCTCTTTTTACTTTTGTCCTATATTTTCTCATTAACAATATTGAAACTCCTTTGTCTTTTTACATTATTGAATCTGTAAGCTCTTTGCTGTATTTGTACTATATATCTTGAAAGCGGCAAGTAGTGGTATTGGTTTTAATATAATCTCAAACAATTTCCTTTTATAATAAAGTAGCTTCTACCACTTAAGTATATTCTCAAACCAACTATATTTGTCATATTTTCCACTCCTTTGATTTTTCATTTATCATCTATCTTGCTTTATTGATAAAAATCTTTTATCAATTGCCAAGTTCATGATTTTTAAATGTATATTTGAGCTTCCCTTAACTTTGTGAATACACAGAATATATATCATAATTTGCTTCTTGCATCATAGAAATATATTTCAAAAAGGTATAATTTTTTCCCAACTCTTCAAATCACTGTTCCTTATATTAGCTGAAAAATTTCATATACTCCTCATTCATCAGTCATTAAGTCTTGCTGTTATTTAACTAGACTAAAAATTTTTATTTTATAGAATTTAAGTAGTTGTAGTTCTTCTTGACTATATATAGTATACTCCTCAACAAGTTCTTTATTCACGTCTCCTCCCAGTCTCTGAAAGCTCTCCAAGGTTTCTATGGAGAGATTACATCAGAGTATGATTCCCAACCACTCATTCCCCTCACACATTGCCTATTTTGTACCAGGAATTATATTGTCTAACTAAATACAGAAATAGCATTTTCAATGTGATGTAAAGGATGTATGTGGTATAAAAACATGGAATATAAAGAGAAAACTTGACCTGAAGTAGCTAAGAAGGCAATTTCTAAATTTCTACCAAGAGGCTCCTTGGTACTGGAGTTTAGTTTTTAAGCCAGGTAAAAATAACATTTTGTTGGATAAAAATGATGATTAATCAACTAATTGTAATTTTTTTTGGCCACTAATATATCCATATAAATGTAGACATTTTTCCTGCACTAAATTTATTAGCTGCTATTTAAGGTTCCAAATTTAATGGGATATTTTTTATTAGCCATTCTTATTTTAATTAGAAGTTAGAAGAGGATATAGAGGAGATTTCTAATCTAACTCCCTCACAGTTCAAATGGGCAGAGGCTCTTATTTGTTCAAGCAAAGTCTAATTGCATGATTCTTATTCACACTGGACATTGGATGAGAAATAAGCTCTGTGAAATCTACTGTCACATATACAGAGACTTTGAGCAAAGAGGAACCTGTTAGCCTATAAGTAAAACTGGAAAGACAACAAAGCAAAACAATAAAAAAAAAATATGTAAATTAATCCAAGAAATTGAAAGTTTCTTAAAACCGTCACTGAAGGATGGAGGCCTCAATATTCCTTAATGGCCCTTGAGGATGCTTTAGATCTGAAATGCTTCAACATTTAAGAGTGCCAGCTGTTAGAAAGGTAAAAAATTCTGATGATTTATTGACTTCAGTCAATCAACAAGTGCCAACTGTTAGCCAAAAAGGTAGATGCACTGTAAGCCTCTGGGATTTGGGTGTTTCTGAAATTACCAGCATTCAAATAAGATAATCCAATATCAAAACCTTACTTAATGTAGCCATCGAAGCAACTAATGATAAGTAGGATACCTTCACTGATTCCAAATCTCCCAGTTTAGGTACATTTGAAGATGAAAGCTATATGGAAGTGTTTGTAGACAAAGTCAAAGACCATTAATATTTAGACACTTAGAGGTAGTGCATAGACATTAGGCCTTTTGGTTAAAGCCAATTCTCTCATCTACTTAATAGAAAATTCTTTGATCAGCAATTTATATATATATATATATATATATATATTTTTTTTTTTTTTTTTGAGACAGATTCTCACTCTGTGGCCCAGACTGGAGTGCAATGGTGTGATCTCAGCAAACTGCAAGCTCTGCCTCCTGGGTTTAAGTGATTTTTGTGCCTCAGCCTCCCGAGTAGCTGGAACTACAGGCATGCACCACCACACCCAACTAATTTTTGTATTTTTAGAAGAGACAGGGTTTTACCATGTTGGCCAGCTGGTCTCAAACTCCTGCCTTCACATGATGCACCCACCTCAGCCTCCCAAAGTTCTGGGATTACATGTATGAGCCGCTGTGCCAGGCCTAGCCATTCCTTTTGAAATAAAGATCTATAAAGCAGAGATTTTCATATTACCTGTTTAGTGGATAGTAACAGAAAAGCAAGATGAGCTGACCTTCCCTTGTCCAACTTAGTGATACTAAGCCATACACATTCAAGCACTTAACCCAGGGAATTTAGTATCATTTCTGTCAATTTTTAGAAGTAAACGATACTCTAATTGTTCAAAAACTTACATTGATTCTCACATATATGACATGTTGGGATGCAGTGAGGGATGAAAGCACAGTTGATGAGATTAAATACATCAACTATGGGTACTAACAGGGTAAATGATGCTCTCAGATCCCGAAACCCTGGCTTAAATGGTGGTTCTAGCTCTTCTACATTGTTCTTTTTCCTTTCTTGTAATAGATTTCTGATGAAGACTATTTAAACATGTATTTTTCCCTAGAAAATAATTCATTTGAAGAAAAATATATTGGTAAGAACAATGGAATCATTTTTTCTCATGAAATGTTGATAAACCTAAACATAATTTTATTTCAGATAAACAACTAGCAGTTGATTTATACCCACAGGCACTGTGCTAACATCTGGGGTAGAAAGACAGTAAGTCATCATTCATTCCTGGCTCCTTCAGACTGAGTCAGCTGTTCTCCTCTTCCTCTATCCCCATGAATACACTTGTCTCCACCACTGAACCACTGAACTCATTGTGTTGTGCTGTGATTGTCTTTATGCACCTTCTTCCTCCTACTACTGCCATGACACCAGACTTCCCTTTCAGCAGGGACAGTGTATTATTCTCCTCTTCGTGTCCTCAACACAGTGCATTGTCTAGTGTTGTACCTCACACACAGCCTGTACTCTTATTCAATAACTATTTGTTGGATGAGGAAATGGACTCACAATCTCATGCTGGATACAGACAAATATGCAACTCTAGTAAACATATTAGAAAATCAGGTGGTAATTAGTGCTAGAAAAAAGTAAAGCTAACTATAAATTGCTCTTCAGTGTTTCTGTAGGTCTAGAGTGCAGCTCTCTGCAAACAGCTCTCAGAAAGACATTCCTTTATTTTTCAGACATGTCACTAGAGTGGTTGGAAATATTAAGCACCTCCTAATGAATTTTAAAAAATAGTAAAGACATGAAACAATGGGATAAGGGAGAAGTAAGAAGGGGGCATTAAACCATGGAAAAGCAATAGGTTAATATATTTGGGAATTTGACTTTGTTGCCACCTATCATGGCACAAAAATCCTTGGTGTATCCAACTACACTTATTAAGTATGAATATCACAAAAGATGATATAACTATATACTGAGAAGAAAAGTTGCTATTTCTGTAGGAAAGACTTTACCTTTTATGATCCTAACTTTTTTTTTCAGTAATGCCATGACTACCAGAATGAAGTCAAAAGGTCTGTCTACTATTTCACATATGCCATCAGTCTTTAAATCACAGAGAAGCAACATCTACTGAAATTTTCCCAGAAAGAAACAACGAGCTAGCATAGTCTGTGAGTCAATTCTTTTCCTTCAATATCTGTCATAAAGTTTGTAATTAAATAGAGATAATGTGTGTTTACTCACTATGGGAAGTTCAAATGTATAAATATGACATGATATTTTTATCATAATGTGTATGTATACTTGTCTCTCTGATTATAGATTTTGTCACTATTATGGACTTTGAATGTAGAGCCATAAGGAAAAAACAGAAACAATGTTTACTCTGAAAGCATTACTGTGTTTGGCAGGGATTCCATATTGTTATTATTATTATTGCTGTTATCAGTTATATTTCTTAGTGGTACAACCTATTCTATTATCCCAGAAAGGTCCATCAGGAAAATTCCATGCTGCATATCTTTAAATGTGAAGCCAAGTATATTCAACTGTAGCTCTCTTTCTTGGATTTTAGAAAGCAAAATTGTGACATCATTTGGTGACTTCATGAAAGTGCTTCCTCTTGTTCCCTCAAGAAAGGTACTCTGAATGGTTGATTCTGCTGGATCTATTTGCCTCTATGTTTACAACTTCTTCACCACTCTTGATATAAAAATGACTCTGGCATGTCAGCAGCAATGAGATTATTGAATTCTAGTAGAGTCATGTAGACAGGACTGAGGAGCCAGGCAAAATGACTACTGGCCCAAGAAGGGACACATTAAGCACCAGTAAAAATAGTAAGTACAATGGACTGAAACATATTCAATATGTTGGCATACTGATTCCAAATACAGTATACACACTCCAATGGTCACCTTTGGGAGATGCTAATGAATTCTCTCATTATTTTTAAAAGATATATGAGAGGAAGGTGTACATTCATTCGTACTTTCTTATATCTTTACTTCATGGTAAATCAATAGTTGAAGAAAGTGTATTTCTTTTTAGGGAAGTATTCTAGCTAATAAATAGAAAATGAATGACAAAATATGACCATCATACAATGCCTAGTAGATTAATGAATCTATGCAATGATCATCAATGGCTGCAAAAATCACAGAAAGAGAATGAACCAAACATTGTATTACATGCATATGTGCTTTGATACATGACCCCCTTTTGTTTATGTCCAGTTTCTGAACCTTCTAGGTTCAAAAGTTCCAGTGTTCCTGGAGTAGTTTGAATGCTCCAGTATTCATCTAATAAGTTATGTGAATCTTTTGTTCTTTTGCTGTGCCTAAGAACATTGTTTTATGCCTTTAAGGTGACAATGGAAGAGTTAATGGTTAATATCAGACATCTGAAAAAGCACTTAGTGCATTCACAGCTCTGACTTGGTATAGGCTTGTCCTTCTAATGGAAGAACACAGCAGAGTATCATCTATGAAGTAATCTTGCAAAAGTAAATTAATAGAACTCAAATTTCATCAAGTGTCTAGAGCTAACTAATGCATTATAGAAAATTTAAAGGACAAAAATATGCAAAATATAGCCTATGCCATGTGGATGCAATCAAAAAAATCCAGACTGTGGGAAACTCTACAAGCCAAAAGGGAAATATATATGATTTCTTCAAAAACCATATATTAAAACAAGAAAAAAAAAACACAAAATTATAAAGATGAAGAGCCTTGAGAAACAAGAGGCATACAAACGATTTGCAATAGATACACTTTATTTGCACCCTGATTGAAAAACAGAAGATTAGGAAAAAGAAAGAGAGATAAATAAATCAATATAAAAGACAGTCCTGGAAATGTAAACATTATCTGGATATCTGATAATACTAAGGAATTATTGTTATTGCTTTTTAGTTGTGAAAGTGATATTGTGGTTTCAGTCAAAGATATTATTTATTTATCTAACAAAATAGAGGAAATAATTTCTGATATTGCTTTAAATATAATTCAAGCAAAGTGAGTAGGGATATAGACTAAACAAGATTGTCCATGCACTGATAATTGTTGAATTCACATATATTATAAAAGGTAGATATATTGGATTTATTATACCATTCTTTATTTTTGTATACATTTAAAATGTCTAAAGTAAAATATGTTTTTAAAACTTCTTGTACAACTCTCTAATCAAATGTATGATAAATAGATCTGATGATCCTAAGTGACTCACAAATCATGACACTCAGTAAAATATCCTATTTCTGGCACATTGATGAAAACCAGAAGAAATCAACATCCTCTTCCTAAATGGCCACAAGAATCCAGATGGTCAGGATAGCTGCTGCTGAGTATCCCCTTCATGATCTGGGAGCATTCAATATTCATTTGATTCAAAAATATCTTTAATATAAAATATATTAAAATAAAATAAATGTAAATCAGTGTAATATCATTGTAATAGCATTTACATTGGTGTAATTATAAGTCAAAATAATGGATTTTGGAAATAACACATGAATATGAGGTAACTTATAGACAGGAAGCTCAATGAAAGTCAAATAAATAATGTGGGCAACAAAAAAAGTGAATATTTCAGTGAATTCATAGCCATGTACCAGGACAAAGTAGGAGTCAGTCCCAAACTTCTGTCACTTAAAACACACCTACTATATCAGAAAGGTTATGGAGTTAAACTGGTTGGTTAGAAAGTCTAAAGATCTGCCACATCAGGAAGGTTTTCAGTAAAACATGTTTATCTTAGTGAATAAAAGGTCTGGTGGCTCCAGCGAGCTGACAGCAAGTGAGATCAGAGTGGAGGTATGGTAGTTTAAGATGCCTATGCAGAGAATAGGAGGGCAACCATGTAAAATGAGTAGCTCATCTATATTGGGCCCAATAGGGAAGGATTACAGGGAGATCAAAGCCAGAGATGTAAAAACTTTCATCTGCAGGTCAGGTATCCCAAAATGGCAGAGGTCCTCCCTTGTTGATGGTGTGCATATACACGCCAGACAACCTTCACTCCCTAAAAGGGAAGCTTTTCAGTTCAAAAAGCCCTGAGAGTCTGAAATCAGAACTATGCTTCATCATAACCACTCTGCTTGTTCGCCTTTCTTGTTCTTATTCCAAATGGTGGTACTTTAAGGGATTATTACCAACCTATTTGTGTCCAAATCACAACTTCTATTCTTCGAAATTAGCCACCTTTTCCTCCCCCTGCCTAGCATGTTCACTGTTGTCATGATGTGTGGCTTGAAGTATAGCATTTGATCACAGATAGGTGGTTGTTACCTACTTTGAGCTCAGCAAGAAGCAGATGGGTGACTAGAAGGAAAAAAGCTTCTATATATACACACACCTAAGTATAAATGATGGGGAAAGGAAGAATCGAGATAAAGAACATGGCAAGTAAATTGTAGTCATTATATTAAAAGTTTTTGAGTGGAAATAAAAGGCTTACATAGCAGTATGTCAAAGTGGAAACTCTGCTCTGTAGATTTAGATTTCTAATTTAAAGAAGAATATCAGAAACTCTGAGCCAGCAGGAGTACTTTAGCCATATCTGGTTTATTATCCTCCATTATTCCTTTGTCACTCCTTGACCTAAAGGTGAGGCTACTGCCAGCACTTGAAAACCAAAGAAATACAAAGAATAATATTAGCGTTATTCTGAGATGATTGAGTTCTTGCCCTAGCAAGTCCTTTAAACTTTGTTTTGAAATGTGTAGCATTACAAATAAGAAATCTTTTTCCCTTTTGTCCCCAACATACTAAATTAGCAATTTGTTAAAATAAGAAATATAGAGAACTTTCCTCCCAATCAGGACAAATTCTGCTTTTATATTACCCGAGATATTTTTGCCAGATTGTTCAAATGCATGACATGATTAAATCTGATAAAACCTAATGTACACTGAAAAGAAAATAGTGGTATTCTACATACTTATTCCAGTGTAAGCTTATTCATTTAGTCATGTCATGCCACTACTAAAGCTAAAATAACCCAAAATGACTGATACAAACAAGACTTTGGTGTTATAACTGTGTTAAAATTTCACAGCAGAAATTAGTTTTATATATGACATCAGAATCCAAGCACTAGTTCTGTGCTTTACAAACTGTGTGACATTTGTGAAGTCTAAGTTTCCTTATTAGTGAAATAAAACATAAATAATGAGATAATCTTGTTGGTTTCTTCTAGTTTCAATAGTCTTTATGTGTGAATTCAGAATTGGAGCTAAATTATATATCTAGATAGATAGATAGATAGATAGATAGATAGATAGATAGATAGATAGATAATCTCCTAGGTTTTTTTAAAAAAAGCAATTTATAGAAAGACAATAGATGGAAATATATAAGAAAATGTACCCAAAAGATAACATGCTATTTTGGAGGAATAGGGTTAGAAATAGTTCTAGGATAATTTATTTCTCTACCACTTATATTGTTTTATTTTTCAAAGTTTTATAAATCACTATGTGATCGATGTATAATTAGGACAAAATAGAGCCTTTTTAGCATTTAAAATAGCAATATTGATTTCAGACCACTACTTTGTCTAAGGGTATAAGACATCTAATATTGTCAGCATGAAAAATAAGATTTGCTTTCATGTGCTCCTTGTTTAGGATAAGTTTCCAAAGGACGGTAGCATCAGTTGAGTATAGCCCATGATATTGGCAGTGTTATTGAGCTAGTTTTAAACAGAAGATAAGAATCAGAGACTGTAATGAACAAATGTGCAGTTTAGATACAACATATTTTACATTGTAGTGCAATTATTTAAGTTCCAGTTTAAGATGTTTTGCTAGACTAAAAATGCTAAACCAAGAAGGTTTGACTTTAACTATCTGTCTATATCCCATACAGCACTGAATTTTATCATAGGGACTGGATGCGCATAGTTTTATTCATTTCAAATATTTAGTTGGAATCTCAAAATTTTTAATGTCCATATCTGAGGGCTGAGACCTGGCTCAAGTCTTCTCATTAAATAATGAAAATTTACCTACAGATGAGGGAAGAACCTTGTCATACATCCTGTATTCACATTGATTTAGTGGAAAGGAAACAATGGTCAATTCTCTGGCAGAGAAGGGGGCTATAAGAAAAGCAGAGAGTGTGATGCGTAGACTGAATTCTGGCAGATGAGTGAGTGCTGCCTCCTACGTTAGAAGGTATGGAGGAGAGGCAAGAGAGAGATGGAGAGGCCATTCTAAGGAAAGGAAGGTAAAACAATTCTGGTCAGATTATGAAGAGTTTGCATCACTTGTATAAAGTGTGAACCTCAACATTCAGGAAATGAGCCAGAGAAGGAGTATTTCACAGCAATGACAGACTAAGATTCACATTTTATACAGATAAGTGTGAAAATCAGTGTAGAAAGAGGATTCGAGGATGGAGAAACAAAAAACAGAAAATAAATTTCTTTTAAAAACTAACAATATTTTTTTAGCAAACCTAAGTTTGAATTTAGTACACTTTCCATGGTATGCATTTATAACTGAAATATCATATTAATTGGAAAGTGTATAATAAATATTTTTATATATTTTGTTTGATTTCTAGGATGTATGTGAATAATGTCATCATTCTCTGCTGGGATTGGCTTTTATTGAGCATGAATTTCCAAAATTATATAACACTAACAAAACACATTGAGGAAAGATCTCTTGCTCTTCTGTTCCCTTAAAACCCAGGAACATGCAATCCCTATCAAAATTTCAATAATGTTTTTCCAAAAATAGAAAAATTCATCCTAAAGTTTCTAAAAAATATCAAGGGATTCTAGATAGCCAAAATAATCTTGAAAAAGAAGACAGAAGCTGGAGGAC